ATACAGATGAAGTCTCCCTCCTCAGCCACCGGCGTCAGCCAGCCTAGCCTTCCGCTCTCCGTACTGCCAAACCGCCGGTGCAGCTTTTCTAGTATCATGCTCTCGAGGAGATGGCTCGATTCAAGGCCCATGCTTGTCATCACGGCGGATAACCACCTACTATGGTTGCTTTCGTGGGCCATAGCTTTGTAAAGCTGCATTTGAGTAGCAAACTCTGTCCTGACCACTGCCAAACCCTGAGGAACTTCTTTGTTGATGAAAGAATCACCCAGCAATGCGTTCTGTAAAGCTCCCTCGACGTTAGTCGCGCCCGAGGCCTTTGCAATAGCCAAATATTCTTCAAGCCATTCCCATCTCCGCCTTTGCATCGCCTGAATATTCTTCCGAAAGGAATACAGATCCCTATTGAATACCTTTTCGACAATGCGAGCGTCGCCGAGGCTTCTGTTGTCCGATCCGAGAAAGCGAACCCTGTCGATGATGCAGCCCCGTATCACTAGGATATCACCGCCATCGTGTAACACCGTTTGCAGCACCGTGTCTCCAGATGCGTTATGATCTTTGTACTGCTGTACAGAGAACTGGGTGACCAAGGTACCCCGGTCCCTATTGCTCACCACGCTTTGAATATTTGGCACCCAAGAACGTATCCGACACTTTAACGGAGTAAAGCAAACGAGAGACCAAAGCAACTTGAGACTCATGCTGTCGGCGACGCAAATAGACGCGAACTGTCGACAAACCTTCTCCATTGGGCTTCTGTAGTCGATCAGATCAAAGCGGTCGGCATCGGATGCGATACCTATCATCGCGAAAATGTGATCACGGGGATCAGCGCATCTGAATTCCAGCGTCCTCACGATAAGAAACGGCAGAAGTTGCTTCTCCGTACCGTCTATGCGCGTGAGAAGTGAAGCTCGCAGCAGAGATAATCCCAACACCTTTCCACCGGCCTCGAGAGGATTGGGGCAGGTTTGTATGAACTCCTTCTTTGTTTTCGGGCACCACTCGACGAAGCTGATCCAGCGAACTAGCGTAGTGCATGGGAGATATAATCTGTCGACCATTAACTTTGGCCTTTGCGATTTCACCAGCTCTTGAATGACCCACTTCCGTGTGAACCATTGACGGTTAAGCAGAGCCCAGATATGTCCAAACGCAGCAGTTCGGTGCCTGCCGAACGCCGCCTGCAACGGCCCCTCAGCCCGACTTTCGGTAATCAAGTCTGGGCCAGACTCCGGCATGCCCCAAGCCATGGCGAACCTGCGTAGCCAGCCAAAGGCCATCTTGACGTCGCTCGATTCCTCGCCAAGCCAGATAACTGTAGCGAACGCAGCGGCGTATATGTCGCTCATCATCCTGACCTGCTGGCTGCGCTCCGAGATATGATGTTGGTTAATGCAGAGCGCATCTGCCCAGAGGAGGGTGTCGCAGGTAGGCTGTCGGAGATTGCGCAAGGCGCTGTGTAGGCTGAGGCCAATATCCATCTTGAGATTCAAGCAACAAAATGATTTTCGCGGCTGCGAATCGCCCCATGCGTAGGAAAGCGCGGTGAAGGATGGCTTCTCATCGAGGAAGACGTGCACCAGCTCGCCGGATAGCTTCTCTGCCTCTGTTCCGGCACATAGCTTCAAGAGGCGAATTTGGCGACTTGGTGCAAGCGGAGAGTATTGGCATTCTTTCATTCAGAATGATGTCTGGAGATGGCCATTTTTCGAGCCATGCGAATCACGTAGGAGACCTAGGAAAGTGTTGAGCACCGGTTGTTGTCAGGGTTAAGAGTGACGGGGGTACCCGTGGAATTTTACATGCACGGGTACCCATGAGCCTATTGGGAGCCCCTTACACTCGGGCGACAGTGGTCCAGGACAGTGGCTAAGCTGATGTGCAGACGCGGAACCGTGTCCAGGCAAGTGTATTTGCAGAGGGTCTTGCGGGACGTCGTTGCGCCTTTGCCCGAGAGCCTCTTCACTGCGAACCATAAGGACGTCTACATCGCAGCACTTACCACGCAGGCCACTGTCGGGCTCTTTTTGCTTGTCGAATGCGAGGAATTCAATGTTTTAGCATCCCTCATTCCTCATCTCGCACGATCACCGACTTGCCGGAATTTATGTCACTACGCTATGGTACCCCTTGCTCTCGATTCTGGTTTTGATCTTCCATCGGTCAGTTGCCGTCTTAAGTCCGATCTCAAGTCACTTCGCTTCCAGAAGCTGGCTTGTCCCAAGAGTTTGCGTGCCGTCGACTCTCGCAATCATGTCGACCCTGTTCTGACGGATGTACGTCACGGGGCAACACGGGCACGTTCTAGAACAACTCCTCATTACTGTGGGAATGCTGTGGGTAAAAGCAGGAGGGCATAAGCCTTTACTCCTGGACTAGACAAAAGCCAAGGTGCAGAGATGACAAAAAGCTGTTCGTCCAATTACCATAGAGTGCGAATCGCTTTGCCTGAACTTCAGACCAACGATTCATGGTTTTCGACCGCATCTCGCACACCACCGTCGATCAGTTCGTCCGCTAAATGGCACGCCGGCAAGTCTATAAATAGCGGGCGACTGAATCCCGCTACGTGCCTTCATAGCCAGAACGGTTACCACTTCCAATTTTCTTAATGCTGCAATTGTTTTGTCAGAGCTACAGGTGTTCTAGTCTGGAACTCAGCTGCCAAGTAAGTACAGTGACAACACTTGAGTGGCTTGCGGGTAAGAGTCACCAAAGCCTTCGGGCTGCAGAAGCGCCCACCGGCTTCGAGTTCCCCATAAACGGGATGCTTCGGTGTGAGCTACTGGTAAGGCCACCTGGGTGTGGGACCTTCCAATAGTAGTAGCATGGCCGGGCCGGGCGCTTCGGGGGTCCACAGACGGGACATCGTGTTCCGCATCCGTGCCACCCACCAACCTGCCGCTGAGAATCTCCCAAAGCGCCCGTCTGCGAAGCGCTCACAGCCCAGTCATGCTTCTGGTAGTTAAATCGGCTCCCCGTCAGCCCGAGTAAAAGTGAACAGACCCGCCGCCGGCGGATAGCTCCTTAATCGGCGCTTGCTGTGCTGCTGTCAATGGGGCTTTGTCCTCGGTGCCCCTTCAAAGTGGTTCAGACCTTAGGATCACGAATTAGCATCTCGTCGCGTTGAAGACACAGAATAGAGATGTAAGAGGCAGTTGTGTATATCTATCTGTGCGTCAACACTAGATACTCTGTGTGATCTAGACTAGGCCTAGCCTTGTGTCCCTTTAGCCATCCGTCTACGCTTTACCTTCTTTGATCGTCTTTGCTCGACCTGGCCTGATGTCCTCAGCGAAA